ATATATATATATATATATATATATATATATATATATATATATATGTGTGTGTGTGTGTGTGTGTGTGTGTGAAAATATATAGAAAATATGAAGGAACTAGTTAGTAAATAATCCAAAGTCCTAAGTATTTTAGTTATTATTTTAAAAAAAATTTCGCTTGAAGATGGAACAGAGCTAATTTTAACACAATTTAATTTAAATAATTATATTGAAGTTTTTGGCTCTTGTTTTGAAACATGAGACTTCTTATATAGCGTTTTGGAATCATATTTTTAAATAAATAATTATATATATATATATATATATATATATATATATATTTTTGTAAAGGGATTAAATCTCACATATTGTTATTTTTAATTTATTTTGTTAAATCTTTATTTTTCATGGATATTCATATTAGAGTAGACGTTCTGTTATTTTAATTTGACAGGATTTCTTTTTATTATCCAACTGCATCTATTATTTATTTGGAATATTTAAGCAGGCTTGCTGTATTTGGATAAAAAAAACTGATGTTTTTTTTTTAAAGAATGTTTCTACTAAAATAGGAATTTCCATTAAAATTAATAGGAATCCATTAATTAATTAGTCCATTAAAATCCATCCTTAACTTAAACAAAGAGAACTTATACGACACAAAGCAGATGTGAATGTTTCGAGAATCGTCAGAGAATGCGTGTTCAAAAGGCACGTTTCGGACTTTGTTGGAAGTGGCTTAGCTGCCAGGCACATCAGATCCAATGACCGTTCCCTTCATAGAATGTGGGTTCGAACCCTGCTGACAAGATTTCTGGATTTGTCAGGCCGGTAGATGCAGTTGAATAAAAAGAAATATTAAAATAAAAAACAGAGATTCTACTCGAATATAAGTATCCATCAAAAATAAAGTTTGTTCTCACAAAATCTCTTCGTCAAGCTCGCACCGGTGTTGGTTGCTAATTCGTTCCGTCTACTGACAGTGAATTCCAGTAGAGGATATCCGGAATAGTGGAACCCAGACATATGAACTGTTGGTCCACCTTCAGCACAACAGGTGTACGCTCCAGAATAACATTGATATATATATATATATATATATATATATATATATATATATATATATATATATATATATATATATATATATATATATATGGGGGGGGAGATTTTATGCCTCTCTGGATGGTGAATGTGATATCCTTTTCCAGACGGTCTCATTTACATGTATTGTAGTCTTGTACATCCAATTAGACTGGATCTATTACAACAGTAATCATAAAAACTGCGCGGACAAAGATAAATAGATTCCCTTCCTTTATATTTATATAGATAGATAGATAGATAATATTAGTGGTAAATATACACATACATATGCAAAATATATAAATATATATACATACATGCATACACATACATATATATTTTGTATAAAAAATTCCAAGAGGATAAAATCCAGGTAAAACTCAATGTCCAGAACAGAGTAAGGATTTGTAGGTCTGTTGAATTGGATCGTATTTACGATTCCAATGGAATAAATTATGACCATGGAATATTAGTGTTTAAGCCTTTCTATGATATATATATATATATATATATATATATATATATATATATATATATATATATATATATATATATAAAACCGTCGCACTTCTCTTTAAAAACCAGTATGCGAAATCTTTCACCTGCAGGGGCTCGAATGATATTTACTTTATCATGCGTTCCCTCATCACAGCGGAACACACTTTACTAACTGTGATTTATTCATAATTTATTGATTTGATTAAGAAATGTATTAAAAGTGGATATATTTCTTCCCCAGGAAAAACTACTATGAATATATTCTGGTTCTGCAGCAAAAGATGACCCACTTTATTGAAATTTAATTCACTGCTTCTTGGAGGATAAATCTTTCCCAAGAAGGTGGAAATTAGCAAGCGTATGCCTGGTCTTTAAGAACTCTAGCACCCTATGCTCCCCACCCAGTATAGACCAATTAGTCTCCTCAGTGTCGTCAATAAGCTTTTTGAGGCCTTAATCTACAAGAAGGTCATCGAGCACCTGAATAAGAACAACCTCTTGTGTGACGAGCACTCTGGGTTTCGATCTGCCTGATCCACTGCTGATGTCCTAACTATCATTACACACAGAATTAGTGAAGCTTTTGATGTCACACATACTGCAAGCACCATATCATTAGATATCTAAAAAGCCTCTAACAAGGTGTAGTACAAAGGTTTGCTTCGCATGCTATGGATTCACTGAAATAAATATTTAAATGCTGATAATTGTATTCTTCGTCGAAATGTCACAAAATACAAAAAAACTTCTTTTTAATCATTATCATGAAATACTTATGTATGTGAGAAAGTAAGTAAACATGTAAGAACGAAACTAAATATATTCTTCTTGGAATAAGTTTTGCCATTCGCAAAGGTGAACTTTTCGCATGCAACACGTGGATTTGCCTATCATTTTAAAATAATTAATAACTGAATAAAACGATGACAACTCCCGTTAAATATAAAACGTTTCAACTCAAAAACCAAAAACCTGAGCGACAAACAGTATCAATAGGACTCTGCTAGTTCCACTGCTTCTATCATAGCTGTCATTACCCACAGAATCGGTGGCGCACTAGACGATAAATATATTGCAAAACCATCGACTTTTTTATGTTGAAGTTCTTTGATAAAGTTTCTTATGTTTTGTTTTGCTAACAAAACTCTCCAGCTATGGAATCTCTGAGTTTTCTCAATTATCTAAAACTACATTACAGGTAGGTCTTATTTTTTTTAATCTCTCGTCTTCAGAAAACTATAGGATCAATTCAGACGAACCCTAAGACATACTTCTTAGTTCTATCCATTTTCTGCTTTATGTTAACAAGCTGATGAAAAAACCTACTCCGATTTTTAGTGTATATTTATGCAGATGATTCAACGTTCGGTGTATGGGTGCACCTGCAAAAATCTAGATGAGCACCGTCTGGCTGCCGATCTCTTCTCTGATCGTCCTCTAACAGCTCTAACAGATCACAGGGGAGCATAACTGTATTTTAACATTCTATAACTCAAATCTAAAACTAGAAACGCTCCGAGCATTGAATTTTCGTCTATCGCGATAAATAGCAGTTCTCTCAATGTCTCTCCTTGACTTGAAAGCTTATTGTGATTCAAGTTGACCCAACACCGCAAGTGAAATTATATATAAAACTCATCACTTACAATGTTGGAAAAAGTAACGGTTAGCGCTAGTAAATACCTGAATCCTCCTATTATGCTCGATTTGTAATATCAAGTGCTGTTAGCTTGGATAGACGGATTATATAATAGATAATTCTTCGGAATCTTTAATCGGAGATCTGTGTTCCAATTTCCGTTCGTTTCGTTATATTTCATGACGCACAAGCACCTTTGGAAAAAGGTAGCAATCCACTTCTCACTACAAATATAATAATGTTTTAGTAATATGTCTTACTAATTCTAAGACTTATAATATTAAACTGCTATTATCTTGAAAATATTGTTAAAATCTAATAATATTTTCTGGCTTTAAAACAATCAACCCAACTATGATTTTTCTTTGCAAGAGAAAGATTAGATTAAAAAGAGACTAATGCTGCAATATCGTTACTGGAGATGTCCAATCCTAACTCTGCAGCCTTTACAAAGTTCAAAAGCATCTACACAGCCTTTTGGGTGGTGAATTGTTTTCCACCCTACGACTGCTTTCCCTCAGACGAAACTTCAAAAGCCCCTCGCTAATCTATCGCTATATCCAATGCAAATGTTTTGAGGACCTACCTTCGTTAGTTCCACATATCGAAACCTTCACCTATATTACCTGCCATGAGTCGTACACTGGGAAGAACCATCTACAATAACTTCGTAATCTATTAGTAAGACTGAAGTTCTACCTTCTTCCAATGACACGTTACTTTGTAGAATAGTCGCTCGATAGGATGATTTCGCGACAACTACAATCTTAACATTTTCATGTCAAGAGCTAACCGTTATTTTTCTCACATAGACTCATAAATCCTTACTTCTACTATTACCGCTCATACAACAACATTTAATATCCCTTTACCTAAAGTAACACTTGTGCCTATTATTATATGAACATTAGTAAAAAGACGGACATAAGTATGTATGCATATACTAATAAACGTTTTTCCACGAATTCTTAAATTCACCAATGTTATTTTCTGATGTTTGTATCGTCTGTTTATTTGCATTAGATTTTGCACTGTATGACCCATTGACGTAACTGATGATCTTTGTCTTCACGCTCTCTCTTTGTCTCTCTCTCTCTCTCTCTTTCTCGTTATTTCTCTGTTTATTCTTTTAATTTTCTTTTGCTCAATTCCGCTTTTTCTGTCTTTTACATTCACTCCTTCAATTCCATCTGCGCTTTCAGATTATTTTTCTACCAACATATTCCACGATGAATAAAAAAGGTTCTTTTTTTTTCATTTTCTGTTGATTAATTTCTTTTTTCATTCAAATATTTCTCACAGGTCATTTTCTTTCTGTTTTCTTTTTTTTTTTCCCTCATTCTTCATTTTTTTTCCTTTCATCTTAATCTTTGTACTTACTATTCTGTTATTCTTTCTTCCTTTTCTATGTGTCTATATTTCTAATTTCACAGATTCTAAGTTTCGGCGTTTTCTCCTCTTTCAATTAGTTTTCGGCCATCTTCCTTAGTTCATTCTCTCTTTGAATTTAGTTTTGCATCTTTCACAGATATTCGTATTTTGAGAAAACATTTAATTCTTCCATTTTTGGGTTTTTTATTTCTTTGCGATACAAATTTATTAATGACAGTTTCGTTCTAATCTTCTATATATTTCTTCGCAAATAATTCTAATAGGAAATTTTACCGTTCTTTCTTTCGTTCTTTTGATATATTCCATCCTTCTTTTGCGTTATTCTTTCTTTTGATAAATATTTTCCTTTCATATATTCATTTTTTCTTTCGATACATTCATTTTTCCAATTATTTTCTTTCGATATATGCTTTCTTTGATATATTCATTCTATATCTCGATATATTTTTCATTCGTTATATTCCTTATTCGTTCTGTATATTCTTTCTTTCCTCCGAGATATTATTTCTTTCTTCGAGATATTCTTCCTTCGAGACATGTTTTCTTTTTAGATATTCTTTCTTTCCTTCGAGATATTCTTTCGTCCCTTCGAGTATTCTTTCTTTTCTTCTAGATATTCTTTCCTTCTAGATATTCTTTCTTTCAGATATCCTTTCTTTCTTTTAAGATATTCTTTCTTATGAGATATTCTTTCTTTCCTTCGAGATATTCTTTCCTTCGAGTTATTCTTTCTTTCCTTCGAGATATTCTTTCCTTCGAGATATTCTTTCCTTCGAGATATGTTTTCTTTCGAGATATTCTTTCTTTCCTTCGAGATATTCTTTCTGTCCTTCGAGTATGCTTTCTTTACTTCTAGATATTATTTCCATCTAGATATTCTTTCTTTCAGATATCCTTTCTTTCATTCAAGATATTCTTCTTTCTTATGGGATATTCTTTCTTTCCTTCGAGATATTCTTTCCTCCGAGATATTCTTTGTTTCCTTCAAAATATTCATTCCTTAGAGATATTCTTTCCTTCGAGATATTCTTTCTTTCGAGATATTCTTTCTTTCCTTAGAGATATTCTTTCTTTCGAGATATTCTTTCTTTTGAGATATTCTTACCATCGAGATATTGTTCCTTTCCTTCGAGATATTCTTTGTTTTCTTCGAAATATTCATTTCTTAGAGATATTCTTTCCTTCGAGATATTCTTTCTTTCGAGATATTCTTTCTTTCCTTCTAGATATTCTTTCTTTTCTTCGACATATTAATTTCTTCGAGATATTCTTTCCTTCGAGATATTCTTTCCTTCAAGATATTCTTTCTTTCAGATATCCTTTCATTCGTTCAAGATATTCTTTCTTATGAGATATTTTTTCTTACCTTCGAGATATTTTTTCCTTCGAGATATTCTTTCTTCCCTTCGACATATTCATTCCTTAGAGATATTCTTTCCTTCAAGTTATTTTTCCTTCGAGATATTGTTCCTTTCCTTCGAGATATTCTTTGTTTCCTTCGAAATATTCATTCCGTAGAGATATTCTTTCCTTCGAGATATTCTTTCTTTTCTTCGAGATATTCTTTCTTTCCTTCGACATATTCATTCCTTAGAGATATTCTTTCCTTCGGGATATTCTTTCCTTCGATAAATTCTTTCTTTCCTTAGACATATTAATTTCTTCGAGATATTCTTTCCTTCGAGATATTCTTTCCTTCAAGATATTCTTTCATTCAGATATCCATTCTTTCGTTCAAGATATTCTTTCTTATGAGATATTCTTTTTTTCCTTCGAGATATTCTTTCCTTCAAGATATTCTTTGTTTCCTTCGAAATATTCATTCCTTAGAGATATTCTTTCCTTCAAGTTATTTTTCCTTCGAGATATTGTTCCTTTCCTTCGAGATGTTCTTTGTTTCCTTCGAAATATTCATTCCTTAAAGATATTCTTTCCTTCGAGATATTCTTTCTTTCGAGATATTCTTTCTTTCCTTCGAGATATGTTTTCTTTCGAGATATTCTTTCTTTCCTTCGGGATATTCTTTCTGCCTTCGAGTATGCTTTCTTTCCTTCTAGATATTATTTCAATCTAGATATTCTTTCTTTCAGATATCCTTTCTTTCATTCAAGATATTCTTTCTTATGAGATATTCTTTCTTTCCTTCGAGATATTCTTTCCTCCGAGATATTCTTTGTTTCCTTCAAAATATTCATTCCTTAGAGATATTCTTTCCTTCAAGTTATTTTTCCTTCGAGATATTGTTCCTTTCCTTCGAGATATTCTTTCTTTCCTTAGAGATATTCTTTCTTTCGAGATATTCTTTCTTTTGAGATATTCTTACCATCGAGATATTGTTCCTTTCCTTCGAGATATTCTTTGTTTTCTTCGAAATATTCATTCCTTAGAGATATTCTTTCCTTCGAGATATTCTTTCTTTCGAGATATTCTTTCTTTCCTTCTAGATATTCTTTCTTTTCTTCGACATATTAATTTCTTCGAGATATTCTTTCCTTCGTGATATTCTTTCCTTCAAGATATTCTTTCTTTCAGATATCCTTTCATTCGTTCAAGATATTCTTTTTATGATATTTTTCTTACCTTCGAGATATTTTTTCCTTCGAGATATTTTTTCTTCCTTCGACATATTCATTCCTTAGAGATATTCTTTCCTTCAAGTTATTTTTCCTTCGAGATATTGTTCCTTTCCTTCGAGATATTCTTTGTTTCCTTCGAAATATTCATTCCGTAGAGATATTTTTCCTTCGAGATCTTCTTTCTTTCCTTCGAGATATTCTTTCTTTCCTTCGACATATTCATTCCTTAGAGATATTCTTTCCTTCGTGATATTCTTTCCTTCGATAAATTCTTTCTTTCCTTAGACATATTAATTTCTTCGAGATATTCTTTCCTTCGAGATATTCTTTTCTTCAAGATATTCTTTCATTCAGATATCCATTCTTTCGTTCAAGATATTCTTTCTTATGAGATATTCTTTTTTTCTTTCGAGATATTCTTTCCTTCAAGATATTCTTTGTTTCCTTCGAAATATTCATTCCTTAGAGATATACTTTCCTTCAAGTTATTTTTCCTTCGAGATATTGTTCCTTTCCTTCGAGATGTTCTTTGTTTCCTTCGAAATATTCATTCCTTAGAGATATTCTTTCCTTCGAGATATTCTTTCTTTCGAGATATTCTTTCTTTCCTTCGAGATATTCTTTCTTTCCTTCGACATATTAATTTCTTATAGATATTCTTTCCTTCGAGATATTCTTTCTTTCCTTCGACATATTCATTCCTTAGAGATATTCTTTCCTTCGAGATATTCTTTCCTTCGTTATATTCTTTCTTTCCTTAGACATATTAATTTCTTCAAGATATTCTTTCTTATGAGATATTCTTTCTTTCCTTCGAGATATTCTTTCCTTCCAGATATTCTTTGTTTCCTCCGAAATATTCATTCCTTAGAGATATGCTTTCCTTCGAGATATTCCTTCTTTCCTTCGAGATATTCTCTCTTTCTTTCGAGATAATCTTTCTTTCCTTCCACATATTCATTCCGTAGAGATATTTTTCCTTCAAGATATTTTTCCTTCGAGATAGTGTTCCTTTCCTTCGAGATATTCTTTCTTTCGAGATATTCTTTCTTTCCTTCGACATTTTAATTTCTTAGAGATATTCATTCCTTAGAGATATTCTTTCTTTCCTTCAAGATATTCTTTCTTTCCTTAGAGATATTCTTTCTTTCTTTCGACATATTCATTCCTTAGAGATATTCTTTCCTTCGAGGTATTCTCTCTTTCCTTCGAGATATTCTTTCTTTCCTTCGACATATTCATTCCTTCGAGATATTCCTTCCTTCGAGATATTCTTTCCTTCGAGATGTTCTTTCTTTCCTTCGACATATTATTTCTTAGAGATATTCTTTCCTTAGAGTTATTCTTTCCTTCGAGATATTGTTCCTTTCCTTAGAGATATTCTTTCTTTCCTTAAATATATTCTTTCTTTCTTTCGAGGTATTCTTTCTTTCTTTCGAGATATTTTTTTCCTTCGAGATATTCTTTTTTTTCCATCGAGATACTCTTTCCTTCGAGATATTCTTTTCTTTTTGTTGATATATTTTTACTTGTTCCATTTTTAAAATATTTTTTTTTAATATTGCTAAAATAAATAAAAAAATCCGTTCAATTTTCTACCTGAATGTCTTTGTTTCTTTCTTTTTATATCTTCTTTATTTAATATTTCTTCGTCGTTTAAAATTTTACACAATTCTAAATAAAATTGTTTTCGCTATCTCCATCTTGATTCTTTTTTCATGTCCTTCTTTTTTATTTATCATACCTGTCATCTGACCATTAGTTCGTCTTTAGTATTTTCTCTCATATGTTTTCATATCTTTCATTTTATTCTTCCTATGTGACGCAGTCTGTTTTACTTTAGTCTCTCTTTCTATCCCGATTCTTCTAGTTTCTTTTATTACAAGAATTTAATTTCCCCAATTCTGCATTTATTTCTTCTCCCTTTCATTCCTTTCTTTGCGAACCTCTGGTTTCTCTCTGTTAAATGCTTAACATGCAAACCAGCGTGGTCCCTTCCTTGCTGGCATGATTTTCAGGCGGATCAAAACGATTACACGCAGTCACTGATAATTTTGATTGTTTTTCACTGCATCTGCTTTTTCAGTCAATTCTCACATCAAGAGATTAAATCGTTTACACCCAAACCAACCATTCCACATTTTGCGCCTTTGCTCTGATCCGCGTTTTCTAACCCACTTATCCAAATTTTACTAACTTCGTCGACATAATCACGCTCAGCGCTTAATTTGCTTCTGGTCTCTTCGTCGTCGTCAGTGGTTTGTCTGCTGGTCCCACTATTTATTCTGAAAACGACATTTTGTAAAGTCTCTGTTCACACACAATACAGATGTAACGAGTAAGCGAATTTAAAGACTAATAAGAGAGCAGGCTTCATACTCGTGGGAAATCCAGGAATAACTTATTTTATATAGCCAGTCCTCTTTCCAGTCTTACTAACTATTCAGTACCGAATGCTTATTTCAGAAAGGATTTGGGGCTCTGAATTTATAAAATATCTGCATTTCACTGAATTTTCTTCTGGAAAAAAGAATAAGGTTTTGTACGCTTCACTTTTCTTACTCTAAGTTTACTATCGTAATTTCCCATGTATAATACGCATCTTTTTCTAAAACATAATAAGAAAAATTAGGGGTACGTATTATGCACAGCTACAAAATTCTTCAAAAACAGCCGTTTCATATTTCGATTTCTATTGCGAATGGTTGCTCAACATGCAACAATTTGACACTAACATCCGGCCATTGCGACCCCATAAAGATGTCAAATACAATCATATGGACCTAACAATACTTATAAATGTAAAATAAATTAAGAATTATCATTAAATTAAATTAGAATAATATTATTCTGTTTAAAACCATTTTTTTTAATGAAAAACTAAATCTAGATCCGGTAGATTACACATTTTATGAAACAAAAACAGGTTAATGATTCTGCGCAGTACGTACAATATAGGTATTTCCGTTTCCTTTTATAATCGTGATGATCGGAAATTTGATAAATATCTTCAATTACAGCTTAAATAAGAACAGGAAACCCTGGTTGTAATGAAATTGGGGAGGTACAATTTACAAGGTTTGATTACCAAACAAGAGATGCGTATTATACGCGAGAAGAAGTATTTTCCCATACGTTCAGCACAATTTTAGGGGTGTCTATTATTGATGAATGCGTATTATACATGAGGAATTACGGTATTTGTTCCGACCAATTAATTTTGAGTAGATTCTGTCTCCATTATTGCAATAAATGATCAGCCGTTTTCTTTGGTTTTATATTATGTAGTAGATGTCTTCGAATTTAATGGATTCTATTTCTCCGGAATCTACGCCTTGTATATGTAGGATAATAACACTTTTGGATATTTCAGTTTTCACCTAGAAAACAATGTCTAAACACACACGACTGGCTATTTACTTTTGCCAACATTCAGTAAGAACATTTCGTTGGTTTGCGACTCGATGGCGCCACTCGGAAGGTGGCTTGTTGGAATTGCTAAAAACGATAACTCTACTCCTAACAATGTTCGTATCCTGTTTATTCACTGTAAACATTCAGTACTTGCCAGTTTATAGCAATAGTTATATATTTCTACCTACAATGATACACGGTATTTTTATGCAATTTAGATTGAGATACAGATTTGCGACACTAAGACACACTTGCTATTTTTAACTGGCTTTTTTTTTTTAATAAAAATAAAGCAATGTTATTGTTATAAATAATAATTAAGATATTTTCATGCTATATCGTGATTCACTGAGGTGGAACTGTCATCAGGCACGTCGAACAGTTTTGTTCGCTCGTAGAGCGATTTATGTATGTTAATTCTCATGAATATCGTCTCATTTCCATGCATATCTTTGCATATTAAAAATTTTACCATATCGACACAGCCTCCGATAAAATGTATACATTTTTATACGAAAGAAAAACTTAGAAATCTATTCAGAGATTTTCCATTGAATATTACTAATGTATTTGTGACAAAAAATTCAAAACTGTTGCTTGTAATCAGGTCATTTTTTCCTATTGGCCGTATCCCTTCAGGGAGTAGGCGATCATGGATCTCCACAATTTCATGTCCTGTATAGCTCTTAATAAATGTTGTTTTTTTTTTCATTATCTATCCTAAACTCCGCTATCAAGCTTTTTAAGTATTAAAAGCTTTGCTTTAGTTTTCCCCACTTGTCTTCAATCTGTTCTGTGAGTATTAAATATTCCAAGCCCTCCGTCCTCATAGCGTGCCCTAAAAATTTCAACTGTCTCATTCTGATGTTAAGTATCAGTGTGCTTTCGTTTCTACTTTCGCTAAAACTCACGTGTTCGCTCCATGGTATTCTTAGCATCCTTCTGCAGAAATACATTTCAGTTGCTTCAAGTATCTTCTTCACCTGCAAGGAGATTGTATGGTATACACTGCCATATAGGAAAATTGATATTACATAACTTTTCAGTAGTTTTTCTCTATGTTACTAACGAACCATTTATATTTATAAACCCCGTATTAAGGCGCACGGTCGCAGCTACACACGAACACCAACAAAGACATATGTATTTATTTGTACCGGATAATCGTTTCCAAGTACACTCATCTGCTTGAGAACTAGCCAATCCCGTTTTCAGATGCCACCTCAGGCAAATTTCTGTTTGTTCAACCCTCACATCACCCACTTATGTTTAGTAATGCAAATATGATGTGCCGTCTTTTATTACTGTTTCTAGAAGAAAGCATATAAACTGTTGTTATTAACAGCACGCTCAATCTCTCAGTCATATACACAAACAGAGATACATATATATACAAGAGGAAAACTTAGTCGATAAAGTCCCTCGGAGGAAGAAACGCATCGGCTAAGTTAATTCTTTTTTCATATAGTCCTTTTATAGACATACTCGATCTGAAATATTTATATGCAAATTCAGAGTTAATTAGTTGTGCCAATTATCTTGTTACAATCCCTAGATATTGGGATGGCGTAAAGAATACACCAGTCCACACACACACACACACACACACACACACACACACTAGTGTCCAAAACTTTGAAGTCACCCTTAAAATAAACAAAAAAAAAAAAAAATGCAAAAATAAGCTTTCTTTTTTTTCTTTCTATGTATCTCGGTCTGTATATAGAGTGCTGTTCAATAAAAGTGAGTCACCTGATTGTTTTTTTTACTAAATGTTCTCTTCTCCGATGATACGAAAGTTGAACTAAATTCAAAGGATAAGCGATCTAAAATCCGAACAAGCTTTGAGAGCTCGTTGAATTTAACAGTAAGTACTGTCAAGCATCCGTTCAGTATAATGTTCTGGGGATGATTTTTCTTTTCATGAAACTGGTTTCTTGAAATCTATTGAAAAGACCCTCAGGAGCGAGCACTACAAGAGAATTGTAGGGTCATTTCTGTTCCTTTTGCTGAATGGGTGAAAATCGACCCCACCAAGCTCATTTTTATGCAGGATAATGCTCCCTGTCACAAATCAAAATTGATGAAAAAATACTTTGATTAGAAGCAGGTGAGTGTTATGACATGGCCGCCCCAATCTCCTGACCTCAACTACTTAGAAAACTTATGTTGCTCAACTGCTTTCTCGAGAGCCTGTACTTTATAATGCTTCATGAGTTTTCTATGGGGTTGAGGTCAGGAGATTGGGGCGTCCATGTCAAGAAACCAGTTCCATGAAAAGTAAAGAATCCCCAGATCATTATACTGAACGGATGTTTGACAGTACTTACTGCTAAAGTCAAAGAGCTTTCAAAGCTTCTTCTTCGGCTTTTAGATCGCTATCCTTTGAATTTAGCTATCCTTTTAATTTTCGTTTCATCGAAGAAGAGAACATTTAGTAGAAAATATCCGGTGAGTCACTTTTATCGAACAGCACTGTATGTCCAAGATTTTGAGTATACTGTTGATAACGATATTTTATATGCTTTCTCCTACTTGATTTTATTTCTTTCAGTTACTAAAAAAATAGAATCAATTATCAAACTTTTACATTAAGAAAGGTTTGCAACGACTGCGAAGATTTTGTGCTGCATTAATTAAGGCTAAAGTAGGATAATTTGACGAGAGCAAAATTTAATCATAAAATGTTTTTTTTTTACTATTTCTCATGATAAAATTGCTACCAAGAAAACATGTCTCACTTGTTTTTAACCAAGCATAATAATTTTCTCTAATGTTATGTACACACCAAATAGTTGTTGAGCCAATTGAAAAAATGACCAGGGGTGTCCCTAAACTTTTGAACTGTAGCATATGTGTGTGTCAATATATATATATATATTATAAATTAATTGATTTAAAATATGGTTATTTTCGCTACACAGTTCCAACCATGTTTCAAAAATAGAAGCTAAAAACCCCTAATTTTATTTTTGCAAATAAATTAAAAGCATTAGTTCCATTTCATCTTCAAGCGAATTTTGGAGTAACTTTTAAAATTTACCGGGTTTTAAATACACAGCTAAAATCACGTTTCCATGGTTACAGAATATTCTACTCAAATTGAACAAGGGTGTCTAGATTTTCCTTATGAGAGTATCATTGTATCAGTTATTAGCTACATTTTGGTAAGGGGTGAGGATGTATTTTACACTGAAACCTGACGTCGGTTGAATGGATGTCGTCTGAATTAAAAAAAAAAAAAAAATTGTTAACGGTAAAAATTTTCAACGTCATCTTTTAAAATTAAAGATTTTTTTACAATACTTTTTATTTAACTACGATTTGAAATATTTTCCTTTTTAATTTTTGTTTTACTATATTCTTTTTAAGAACAGTTAAATGTATTAGAATCCATTATATTATGTAGGATTATTTTAACATTAAGTTTAAGTATGTATATGAGGTTACATTTTTTTTTTTTTTTTTTTTTTATGTATATGACTATGACAGCAGAAATGGTTACTTAATTTCACTGATTCAGTAAACTTTTCTTTTATATATAAAC